GGGCCACGCTCCAGGAAAGGAGAGTGAAAGTTTGGTCAAGAGGCCATGCTGGGAGCGAGAGCCAGGAAAGGGAGGAAGCAAGTGGACGCAGGTACCCCCATGCTGGAGGGAGGCACAGTGCTTAGGAAGTGCTTTGCGCCTTAGGAAACCCAGGCAATCTGGTGCATGGCATTGATGCCGCCTCTTCCTTATTCACAGCACCTCCTTTTGTTCAAGTTGCCCACTGCGCTCCACAGTCATGAGCTTCCCTGAGCCAACCACTGAGATAGTATGTTCCTTATTGGTGTAGGACTGGCTTCGTGAACCAGTTCTGACCTGTGAGACGAAGAAGGGAGGTCTGTTGAAGGAAAGGGAATTCTGGGGAAACAGAAGTATAGGAAGGCATTGTCTTCTCCTTTGCTGGGTACTGTCAGGTCTAGATGTGATGCCTGGAACTACAGCAACCATTTTGTTATGCGAGGGGGTTCATAAAATAGAAAGACTAAGAAGGTATCAATCAGTCCTTGATGATACAATTTTGCTCCCGAGTTAACCAGTGCTGGGCCACCCTACCTCCTGGTGGTCAGTTGAGATAATACATTTTCTTTCTCATTTAAACCAGTGAGTCAGGGCTTCCCATTACCCTGCAAATACAAGAACAAAGTTTTACCCCTCCCCCATTTTATAGACTGAGATTCAGTAAACACACTCGTCTAAAAACACACAACCTGGATGGTATAGAGGCAGGAGTTGAGCCCTCTGTCATGGGAGGAGAAACTTTGGAAGGGGGGAGTGATGGTAACAGGTTTTTTTTTTTTATTTTTTTATTTTTTATTTTTTTTTTTAAAGATTTATTTATTTATTCATACAGAACTGGGATACAGGCCAGAGATGCGGAGGGTGAGAGGATTCACCAGAGACAGAGTGGGGAGCAGAATAGGCAGATCGACGAAGTACACTGCTGAGGGGAGCAGCGGGCGGGTCAGGAGAGGTCTGCCACGCCATGTGGTCACCTCCGGGGCAGGCGGGAATCGAACTCATGCGGAAGCGGCTTTAGATTCTCAGTGCTGTGCTTTAACCCGCTGCGCCATCAGGGAGGGCCCGGTTTTTGTTTTTTAACATTGTGTTTTTGGCTTTTCCAAAGACCATTCCACAGGATTGAATGGTTTCTAACAGGTGAGGACAGGGAAGATTGGGTGGGGCTGGGACTCAAACGCAGGCCCTTGGAATTCAGCTCAGTCTTCTCAGCATGGCAAGGTGCTCAATGACATCAGAGAGCCATCCCCCCCCCCACCTTGCTCTTAGCCCCCCCTTAGTTTGGTCTGAGCTGGGTGGGGCTGCTGATCCCAGAGACTGGCCAGCAGGGGCCGCTGTTGTTATAGCTGTTGTTACAGTGGCCTGCTTAGAGCAGGGCTGGGGCTGAGGAAAACTTGGACTCAAGGGGGGGACATACATTGTGCCCTGAGGCACAATGAAGTTACCTCCCTCCTCCTTCCACTCTCCCTGCAAAGAGAGTAAGCAGCCTAGATTCCCCACTGGAGTGTCTAGAGCCTCACTGCTGTGTGCCCTCAGGCAAGTTGCCTCCCCTCTCTGAACCCCACTTTCTTCATTTTCAAAAGAGAGGTATTCATCTCCACTTCTCAGATGAGGATTTCCTCTCCGTGGCGGATGGAGGGTTGAGGGGAGTGCTGCCATCCCCTTCTTTGGACAT